GGGAGGGGGGGCGTGTCCAGCAGGGCAGCAGGAAGGAGGCGGACTTCTAGTTCCTGCTGCTGCTTTATCCCGGGAGCCTGCCCCCACACTCCTTAACCTGGAGGAAAAAACAAACGGTCCTTTGGCCAGTGGGTGGGCGGGGCAGGCGATAAGAGGCCTCTGTTTGCCAGGAGTTTCGAGGCTGGCTCTGGGCCAGGCCTTGGGGCCTCACCTGGAAACCAACAGGCTGAGGTGGTAAGTCCTATAAGTGGCTGCTGCAGGGCAGAGCTGGGTGGCTGGAGAGGTGGAGGCAGCTCTGGCCCAACCCCTGAAACCTCCTTCGCACCTGGCTCAGGCCCAGCAGGCTCCTGCCTGGCAGAACTTCACAGGAGGGCTCTTACCTACAGCCTTTAGCCCAACAAGGGAGTTGGTAGTGCAGGCTCTAGACCAGACTGATCTGGGTTCAAATCCCAGCTCTGCCACTCCTGGCTGTGGAATTTGGGATTAATTTCTCTCACCATGCAGCCCCAGTTTCTCCTCCTACACAGTGGAGAAGCACAGCAACTACACTCAAAGAGTAGAATGTGAAAATGCTTACAAATCTTCCTCATCGGGGGCCGGTAGGTGGCATGGTGGCTGGACTCCCACATGGCTGACCATGGTTGGAGTCCCAGACCCAGCAGCCCCCAAAAACCACAACCAATAGATAGATAAATAAATGTAAACAAAGCAAGAAAACACCCCCGCCTGGGCCCAGGATAGAGCTAGCTGGGTTGATAGTGCTCCAAAAGAACATCTGGGAGGGCTGGCAGGTGGCGTGGTGGTTGAGGGCACTGGACTCCCATGTGGCCAACCATGGTTCGAGTCCCAGACCTGGTGGCTTGCTTTCTTACTTTCTCTATCTGTCTGTCTCTCTTTGGTCAAATTAAAAGATAAATAATAACAAATAAAAATAAATAAATCTTTAAACAAACAAACGCACACCTAGGGTGAGCCAGTGGCAAGGGGGTTAAGGCAGACAGATCCCAGCCTGGAGGATGCGTACATGTATGCCCAAAATATCAAAAGGAAAAGGAAAGAAAAAAAAAACACCCGTGCCTCTTTGGGCCCCATGTGCTGGCTGCCGCGAACCATGTTTGGAGTTCTGCACAAAAAGCCCCCCACCAGAATATCAAATTGTATGAGACAACACCATGTTTCCAGATGATACTGAGGATGCCAACTTTGATCTGAGCTGGGAAGCAGTGACACCCCACAGCAGCAGTCTCAGGCAGAAACCAAACTCCCAGCTGGGCAGAGGTGACAATGGCAGGTACCATCTGGATCAAGCGACAAAGGGCACTGAGGGGCAGTCGGGATCAAGCCTTTGGCAGAGAGAGGCTTTTCCATGGTGAAGGGTTGGCATTCCGAGTTGGCATCAGACAGATGGGCAGCCAAGTGCTGGGCTTTTGGAGGAAGTCCCCTTTGGGAGAGTGTGGGTGTATTTCCATGTTTTCTCTCCACGCTCAGATGTCCTTTCAAAGTCTCCACCCTCCCTGGGGCAGGGCAAAGGAAGGTGTCTGTGTCCAGGGGTCACAAGGACAGGTCAGGCTGATACACTGCTCAGGCAAGAAGCACACTCTGGGCTGTTGTGTGCAAGGAGGCGGCTGACGGGCTGCACCCAAGGGCAGACCACGCACAGGGACATGGCCAAGGGCTGGGCATGAAGGGCTCGGCCTAGGTGGATCCCAGATCTCTGTACTCATCAAATTGATTCTCTCTAGGTCTTAAAATAGAGTATGGGGTTGGGACCAGCAGGTGGCATAGTTGTTAAGGTGCCCGATTCCCACATGGTTAAGTGTGGTTTGAGTCCTGGACCCTGCAGCTTGAAACTCATGCCGGGAGCTTGGGTGTGCATGCCCCAAATCCCAAGAGGAGAATGGAGGAGAGGGGACTGCAGCAAGGCCATCTGCCTTGGGGGGTGATTTCTCACTTTCTGTCTCTCTAGAGAATACACACATACTATAGCAAAAATCTCTCAAAAAAGAAAGAAAGAAAGAAAAAGAAAAAGTAGAAATAGGTATGGAATAGGCACGGGGAGGACTGGCTTGCTACGAGCAGAGAGACGGGACGGAGAGAAGACTGTTACTGAAGGTCTCCAGTGTCAAGGGCCTTGACGTGAACCTCCTCTTCCTCAATGACGTGCACAGAGGGCCTCTGCGGCTCCTGCTGTACATTTAAGGAACAGTATTTAAAAGTGGGGGCAGAGGCTGACCCCCACGGGCCAGCATTTGAATGGAAGTACTAACAGACTGAAGCTCGGGGAGTCCTGTTCACCAGTTAGACCTGAAGGTCAAAGTGAGAGTTCTGACCCGCACCCCTCCTGCTCATCCTGCTCAGTTGCCAGGCCGGGGTCTGTTCAGGGAATGTGGGTGTGTCTGTTTTAATGGCAGTGGCACCACACCTATGCAGCCTGACTCACCTGCACATGGCATGAAGTTGTGCAGAGGGAGGAGGGGGTAGAAAGAGGAGGGAGACACTTAGGTGGCCAGGGCCTGCATTCCAGGTCAAGACAGGGGTCTGAAGGGGACCTGGAGGTGCAGCCCTGGGGCAAAGGAGCTACGACTGGCACCTCAGTCAGACCAGGCTTGAACCTGCGAAAGGGATGGGGTGCTCCAGCCCAGAGTAGCTGGAAACTGAGGCTAGAACCTGGACTTCCAGGGGAGGGAGTGGGACAGGGCAGGTAGCTCAGTGCTAGCTTCCCCAAGGAAAAGAGCCTTTCCCCGGTCTGGTGTCTGCCCGCTCCTAGTACAGGCTCCCTGACTCCTTAGCCTGTGAAACTGCTGTGCTTTCTGTCCTGGGAGAGGAGAGGGCTGGCCTTCGTTCAGCTGTCAAGCTGCTCAGAGAAGGTCACAGCCACAACCTGGAGCTGCTGGGATTCCAGGACGAGGATCAGAACCTTCCTCCAGGGGAGGGAGGCCAGGCCCAGGGCACAGGTCAGGCCCAGGGGTCTCTGAGGCTGGTCTTTGGATACCACACCCCTCTGGCAGACAGGTTGGCTATGGAGGCCATTCTACTCTTCGGGCACAGATCTGGCCAGAGCTGAGGGGACTCCAAGAGCAGCATGCACCCCCAAAGCCAATTCTGGGAGCTGAGATAGCCCAACCTCTCTCTAGACTCTCCTTAGCTTGGCTTGCAACATTCAAGGCTCCCTAAACCTCCCAGAGTCTCTTTCAGCCGCGGCCTAGGTCTGATCAATTTCCCTCCAGGAGTTGGGCTAGAGGCTCATCACTGGACCCCCATCTGGTGCCACCAGAGGCTTAGAACCATAGCTTGTGGCCCCAATGCCACAAGGGCTCTTCCCTAGAGGCACTGAGCTGTGGGCAGTCCCTCAGCCGGGAGGAGGAAGTGAAAAGCAGAGGAAAGAGAGCGTGAAACCCTCAAACCACAGGTCCCTGTGCCCAGCTCCTGGTCATCTAGGATACCGATTCACCGTGCACCGTGTGTTGCCAGTGAATTCCAGTTTGGTCCCTAACTGCTCAGCCCAGAGATGCCAATCCTAAATACAATCGATTATAAACTTTTCAAGAGAGGATCTGTGGCTGAAACCCCTCTGGTATTTCAGAATGGTAGATGGACCCAGCCAGCACTCTCAGTCCAGTACCTGGGCCCCAGTCTGAAGGGCGATCCCCACCTGCAGGAGCCCCCTGTAACCGCCGGTCTTAGGGAAAGGAGTAGGAGGGGACAGCCAGACAGGGCCTGGGCGGGGCTCCTATCTCACCCCCTGCCAGAGCCAGGCTCCCCGCAGCTTTCCTGGGAGGGAGGGCAGAGCAGGTGGGGAGCTGGCTGGGAGGTGCAACTGGAGCCAGGGAGGAATTCCCTGCCCTTCCTCCACGCTTTTATTAAAGTAGGGCGGGGAAGGGGTAGGCTTGCATCGGAAAAATCTCCCAGGCAGGCCGGGGAAGGTGGGGAAGCCACTGGGGGCTGGGAGGGAGCACCGGCTGGGCTGCAAATAGAAACGGGCACAGGCTCGCAGCCCAAGGGCACCGAGGCCGGAGGCTAGCCCAGGCTGGTGCAGAAGTGACTCCAGGTGGCTCTCTCTCCCTATTCTTTGCCCGGTCCTCTCCTCTCCGGGCAGGGGGTCAGGGTCTTAGAAGTCTGGGAAGAACACATCCGCTTTTGCTTTGGGACAACAGGGCTGGCACCCACCCTGTTACCGCTTGAGATGACGGCTTTGGGGGACCCCATAGAGCTGGAGGCGCTGGCTAGACCCGGCCTTGCCCTGGAAGGCCTCTCCTGGTCACCCGCGGGGCCAGTCTAGAGAGGGGCCTCAGTAGGGATTTCAGGCGAGCTTCCAGGAAACAGGCTCGGAATCCACCTTCTCCCGCTGGAGTCTCGGCGTATGTGGGAAGAAGATGAGGATAGAGACCCTGTCTCTCCCTCTGACCCACCCGGGTGTGGCGAGGCTTCCGCGCAAGAGCGCAAGAAAGTCGCCAAAGCGCCCCCGCAACCTGAGTCTGCTGCCTCGGCAGTTCGCACCCCTCCCCCCCAACCCCGGCCGGCGGCGCGCTGCACGGTGTCACCCAGAGCAGAGGCTTCCCTGCTGGGAGCGCTGCCCGGCTCCTCCTCGGCCCATGGCCCCCCGAGTGGCCCCCTCCCCACTCACAAAGAGTGCCACGGCGCATCAGTCAGGCTCTCGAGGAATCAGCTGCCCCGGAGGGGAGGGAGAAGGGGAGGCAAGGTCTGGGGCGGCGGAAGCGGGTACTGGGGCACAGTCTGGAGCGGGTATTGTCCCGGGCAGGGGTAGAGGGGTAGAAGGTGGGAGCGAGCCCACCGCCCTCCATGTTTTGAGAAGAGGACGAGCTTGGAGAGGGGCAGCCTGCCAGGTCCCTTCGTCCCTGTCCCTACTCCCCGCCCCTCCCGAACTGGGTCGTGGGGGGGCGCGCGTCTCCACTCCCTCCACCTCCAAGCCCCAGGTTGCGGGCGTGGCTCTCCTTCCCCAAACCTCCAGCCCGCAGCAAAGGGGCAAGGCGGGTCCTTACCTCGGCATGGACTTCTGCGTCCTCAGTCGCTGCGCCGCGGCCCAGGCAACCCAGAAGCACCAGTAGCAGCGGTAGCAGTGGCGGCCGCGCCGCCGCCTCCCGGC